CTCTCTCTCTCTCTCTCTCTCTCTCTCTCTCTCTCTCTCTCTCCATATATATATAGATATATAAATAAATAAATCAAAATAAAATATGGTGCATGCCTGAGCTTGAGATGTGGAGGTGAGCCTTACAAGCATAAGGTTTGTGGAAGCCCTTCACAGAAAGTAGGCAGAGGGACTTCGAGACAGGAGCCAAAAGAGGATAAACTGAGGCTGTTTTAAACTGTGAATCATTCAAGGCTGCTCCATTAGAGTGCCACAATAAAAAAGATGAAGCAGGAAATGAGTAGAAATTGCTCTCAATTAAGGAAATTCATGCTTTATAGTTCATTGTTTTACCCAATTTTACCACAGAGGAGAATCCCCGCCAGGCGTCCTGGTGAAGATGTTATTCAGTGCCTTGTTCAGATGTTTTTGGGTTTTGTTTTGTTTTTTTGGGGGTTTTTTTTTGGTTTTTTTTGGATAGTTATCTTAGATAGTTATCTTTGTTCGTAATGAAGTTATTGCAGGAAAATGGAACTAGGACTTGGACTTCATGGGACTGAAATTGCTCAATGTACTGTCATCACAAAGTGGATTAACTTACGGAAGGATGGACTATTTAGATTTTATTAAAAGGGGTGAATGTGTTTGCAAATTAATCGATCTGAATCTACATTCATATAAAGACATATTGATATGGGTCATTTTTCTCCCGCTGTTGATCAGTGTCAAAAAAAATTATGTTACTTCCATTTAAAATTGTAAACAAACACTGAAAAAAGTCAAATTAGGTGAAATCTTTCTGTGGGGGGGGGGGGCTGATGCTTTATTTGTAACCAAAGATGTGGTCCCGCTTTGGAACATGTTATTGGTTTTATCCTGAGATCTATTAAACCAGATAGAATTTGAAATCCATATTGTTAAATCTCGCAGATTTCCCCTGTGGAAAGTGTGAACTTATCCTTTGAGCATGTTTCACTTCTAGCCTCAAACTCGCCTTCCACAAGCTCAAGATCAAAGACTTGTGTGACGAGGTTTCAAATTCCGACTGTAAATTGTATTTTATCTGGACTTTACTGCGTTAGTTTGGAACTGTAATTATAACCCATTTTCAACCCTTAACATTCCTCTCTTGGTTGATTTTTGTGTTTTCTGAGATCGATTTTGTTTTGTTTTTTTTATTCAATTTGATTTTTTAACATATATATTTTTTAAATTCATCTGATAACATCTATTTCCTTTCCACCCGGGAGTTTGCTAAATCCATTGAAACCCCTCTGACATTTGGAGAAACATCAAAACTCCACAGCGAAACTTTTTTTCACTTTTAAATTTTCACCTCGTGTTGGTGTGTGTGTGAGTGTGAATGCCAGCATCTTTCTCTGCTCACATTTGAAACACAAGTGCTGTAGCTTCACGCATTTACTTAAAAAGGAAAAAAAAAATCTGTAACCTTTGTGATCATAGAAGTTTATATTTTCATACAAAGATTTGGTTTGTACAGAGGACCTGTAACAGATTGTACTTTTGTGAAAACACCTCAGCAAAACTCCAACAAACGAAGCTGCCCTCCTGAGATCCGCCATGACGATTTAGATCAGATATCAGATATGTTGGTCTCGGATCACTTCAGCTACGCTGGTCATTAACTCTAATCTGTAACTTACGAAAATTCAAAAAAAAAAAAAGGTTTTGTCAGTCACATTACGTGTTTATATGACAGTATCATAGTTATTCCTATGATGCTATTATATACCATATTATAATATACTGTCATTTAGGTAAATTGTATTGCTCTGCATTGAATAAAGTCTGGCTTTGGGTGCACTGCATCCTTGTATTACATGAAGTATGGAAAATAAAATAAGGAACCTGCTCTCCATGTCGCCCCCTGCTGTCACACTCTCGCCGAACAACTGGTGGAAGAAGTACGCACAATCCTGTGTGTTAATATATGCAAGTGATTTGCTCATTTAAATCTTTATACACTGCCGTGTCAACCTATCACATCCTCTAATTCATATTTATACTCGTGATGAAATGACTGTAAAATCCTAATACATCGAGCTATGAAATAAATGTGGTGGACTGAAATATTTCCCTGTGAAATGTAGTGGAGTAGACATATGAAGTGGCATAAAATTGAAAATCCGAATGAGCTGAAATGGCACCATAGGTTCATTTTCCCCTAATGCCGCACTTTATTTTGGCAGAAATTGGCACTGTTAAAAGTATTGTAAATTAGGGGTGGGTTTGAGTCCGCCTCGGGCTCTTTTCTCTCTTTCGTTTTGCTCTCCATCTGAACTGTCACTATATAAAAGGTTAAAATGGATAAATACGTGCTAGGAAAAAAATAGGCATAATTAACTTTTAGCAGTCCACACGCTCAATTTAGTCCTGTATGAATGTACAAACTGCAATACAGAGGGGAAAAACATATATTACAGAATCTAAAGATCACGGATATCCTCATACTCAAAACTACTAAATGTTGTTACTTTGCACCAGGAACTCTTTGTGTTCAGTGTTGACTGTTGTGTCCCAGGTACATCTTAGGAAACATGACAGGTGATGCACATGTACAGTAATTTTTATTTAGAGGCCACAGCTCTTGCATATTACAACTGTTGGCTTTCATAAGGCAAAAGCAAGAATGAATCCACCAGCTAATTCACACAGAAAACAGAAAGCGTTTGGGGAGGGTGGGAACCCACGGGCATGCAGCAATGGCTCAGAATGCAATGTACAGCATTTTATATTTATATATATTTATATAATATATACAAAACAACAGTGAGACCCAAACAAATGCCAGACATCTCATTCTACACAATTACAGAACAAAGACGGACCAACTTTTTTTTTTTAATAAAAAAAATTCTTTTTGCTCTTTTTCCTTGTAAAAGTGCAACTCAATTAAAATAGAACCTGTTTCAAGGCCTTTTAATGTTGAAATAAAAATAGAATCTCCCGAGTTATCAAAATGGAGCTATGAGAATATTGCATCTCTAGAATACCCACTCGAAGTTCAAGATTCCTGTTGAACCATGTCTAATTCGTAATTGAGATGAGATCACATAGCATTGACACATGATAAAAAATGCAGGTCTAGACTTACTGTCGATGTTAAGAACAGTGAGTAGACGACGGTTTATCTGTAACAGCCGTAAACAAATACAGAGGTTTTATTTTCAGTTCGAAGCAGTTGGCATTCACTTAAAAACAGACGAGACAAAGAAAAGGGTCCACACACTCATCATCACGACAATGTACCATTAATGAATGTAGAATACGACAAAGAAGCGCCATATAGGATTGCATTGGACAGGGACACACCTATTAATCTCACTCAACATTGTCAAACAAATGGTTCTCCATATTGCTTAGTAACACATAGAAATGAATTTAGAAATGAATGAATCCAAGATAGGTGCTATCTTTATCATGACACAGCTAAACTGCCAATCATGGTTATTTTTTTTTAAACATTTTTATTTTGATTTTCTTCAGTATAAGTACTATTTTTATAGTTAATAGTTCCTTCATAGGCATTTCGAGCTGACAAAGAGGTCCTAGAGTGGCTATCTGAGTTGGTACATGCATCGGTAACCAGGCTAAAGTCAAAAGTGTGAAAGGGAGGGGGTCGGGGTGAGGGAGGGTCCTAGAGGGAGGCCGGGGCTGAAGTCTCGGTGTCTAGTCGTCCTCTTCGTCCTCCTCGTCGCTGTCCTTCATGGAGATGCCTTGCATGCCTCCTTCCCTCACCGAAGCAGCGGCCTCCTCCATGGTCAGCCTGTTGCGCACCGTGTCGTACATCTTACTGTTCAGGGTGGAGTCGAGGACACCCTGCAGGCGGAAGTCCCGGTACTTTTTCTGCATGAAGACAAATATATATGTCGCGTGACACGCTTCCTGCTGTGTCTACTACAAAAGAAAGTTGACATGAGATACATGGAAGTCAGAGAAATAGTGAAACCATGGGCCAGCTTTTGGATCTTAAAGGACCACGTAAGCTGCAGGAGTCCAAAACCCATCCATGTGAACCCACGGTGCTCTAAGATAGACCAAGTTAGGATTTGTAGACAAAAAAAAGTTTCCAGTTTATCAACACCTTACCTTTGTAATCCTGATGAGGATTTTTAACTGGTAGACGTGGAGCTGCTGATCCATGCGTTCAGTGAGCCAGGTCCCCAGCAGGTTCATGGTGGCAGTGTACCATTGCTGAAACACAAACACAACACTCTCCAGCAAAACACACACCCACACACGTACTAAAGACACCATGACAGAAAACTAACCTTTAAGACGCAGGTATAAAACCAGAACTAAACATGTACATTTCATAATAACATCAGCATTCAGTCACTCGGATTGAAGCTCAGTACAAAGTCTGTATCGCACTTCACAAGAAACCCATTCTTGCATGAGTCAGAACGAGCAAATAATGCAAGTTAAGAGGTTTTCGAAAAAGGGGAAATCATGTTCAAAATAAATAAAATCTCACGAGCCACAGAAGTATTACAAGCTACAGAACATGGACGTGCTTCAACTGTTTCTTTTGATCGTAGATTAAAAGATATAATACTCCAACTTCTACATGTCAGATCGCCTCATCTCTTCATCGCGTGCTTTTAACTCGGAGTTCCGGACAGCATTAAATATAAATCACTGAGCCGATATCAAAGTTAAACTTTGGAAGTTAACGCTGGTGCACTGAAGTGGTGACAACTTCAAACTATATGGTAAAACATTAGACTTGCTACATTTCTCAAACATTTCTCTCACTTTTTGGGGGTCTCTAATTTGGATGAAAAGATCAAAACTGGTGTAGGATAGCACAACGAATGGGAACAGTGAAACAGCTAGTCTGGCTTTAACAATAGGTAAGTACAATCAAAAAGCTCAAACATAATTAACATGCTTTTTAGGTCTGAGTAAGAGAAACTGCACAATGTTAGTGCAAAACTAATCTTAGCATAAAACATGAAGCAATAAACTGTCTCCTTGCTTTGACTTCATCCATAAGAAATATTCAATTATTGTCATACTAAGAGCTAAAAGTAAAAGCAGACCTTACTGAGCTGTGTGCCAAAAACTCAGGATCCACACTGCTCTAAACACTCGGTGTCATGATGTTAAAAGTGAGGAGATATAGTCAATTTGGTCGTCTCAGACACAGATGTGGCTGTGAGCACAGAGTCTCTACCCACCTTATGTCTGTGAGGGGCAACCAATCAGAAGAAAACTGGCTTCAAGGGAGGGTAAAGGGAGCCAAGACAGCTTGTTTTTAGACAGTGGGTGAATTGAGCGGCTCCACCAAGGGCCATTAAACAACAGAAGATGATTATTCTGAGCAGTAAACCATGAAAAGCTACAGTAACAATATCCAAGAATTAAAATATCATTTTGAAATGAGCAAAATAGGTTCCCTGTCATAGAAATATGCACTCGGGTCATTTTACTAAACAACGGACTTATAAGCTTATCCCAGTGGTCAATAAGACACAAAAAAAAAACAGAAGAGCTTCTTTGGTGTCAAATCCCCCAACGACACTTCGCACTAAACCAACAGATGGAATCAAATTAAATTCTATGTAATGTTTACTAAAGTAAATGGAAACTGCTTGAATTTCATTTAGTGATCCCAACACACTCAAGGACACAAACAGACACACGTTTACCTTTTACACAAGGAAACTGCATTTATAGCGCTACGAAGAGATGGAAGGAGCAAGTTTATGGAATTTCCCTGAGTGCACTGATATTACAGCGACTTGAAGGAATTAATTAAAAAGAGGGAAGTCATAACGCATTGAAAAATGTATCTGTCTTGAACTGCAATTACCTTTTCAACTTCTAAAAAATGTTCAAGTCGATATTTTGTAGCAGCTGCATGGCCCATCAATTACTGAAGGCAATTACTAAGCCTTTATTTATAATTTATTCAAGTGGAAACGCGGTGCTGCGTTTGAAATGCCCTACACTGTGGATAGAAAACTACTATGGGGAATTGAAATTATAGTTTTGACACGGGTACATTAGCAAAAGAAAAATAGAATGAGAGTGAGTAAATGGTTTGCAGGCAGGGAGCAGCGGTGCTGTTTTCTTGTACCTTTTTCGCTCTCGTTTCCTTGGGGTGGCAATTTTCCAGACTGCACCAAAGTTACAAGAGAACAGCACCCATGTTTGATAGAAACGGGCGTCATACCTCCAAAAAAGGTCAACTTTAAACTTGTGAGTAGGCAGGAACGCAGAGAAGCTTTAGAAGGCCCGAATTAGAGGTGGAAGGAGTTAGCTTAGTTGGTGTGTTTTTAGTTTTTAGGTTGAGGTTTATTGAGATCAGGATTAGGTGAATGGTTGAAAGGTTTGAACTTGCAGATGCCTGTCCACTTCACAGTCGAGTTGAGCGTGCAGTGCATGCAGACTTCGCGGGTGGGTGGGTGAGTGGCTGAGTACGTGCTAAGGACGACTGCTCTATGTGCAAATGAGGCAGAACTCTGAGGAGGGTCATGCTAGAAGATGTACACAGGAAGATTATTTGACTCTAAAATCATGCCAACCAACATAATGTGATAAAACAAGGCAACGCAACGCTAGAGATAAGTGCCACTTTTTGACTAGAGGAGGCAGCAGGAATGAAGTTAATCAGAAAACAGGAGATTAAAAGGATTGAAATAAATCAGCGTAAGAAAGAGAGATAAAGTAGAGCCTATGCAGCGTCTAGGAACGACTTCCACATGCATGCAAATGAATGAATGGAAATGCATTCAAATCAAAAAGAAAAAAACATTGACGGCTTCGAACTTGCTAAAACTGAAACACTCACAGCTCAAAACAAAACAAAAAAAAGTCAATTTCAACACAACGGTGCTGACTAGGATCTCAGTTGGGCACTCTGGGGCCACACGGGGGACACAAGGGGGTAAAAAGCTCCACAGTAGAAAAAATTAAGGACACACGGAGACAGGGGAGCCAGTGTGGACCTCAAAGACAAAAGCAAAACCCACTTCACAACAGCATCACTCCTGGCTCCAAATAAAAAAGAAGATTAAAAAAAAAAAGTCATATTCATCTGGCACAAAAATAGAAAACCATTGTCTGTCAGACATAAAAACGTGACGTCACTGCCTCACAGAAAGAACTGAGAATCTGTCAGACACACAAAGCACTCACACGCCTGTGGAGACACAGGTCTTTACAAACAGGTTCTAAATGACATGAAGCAGACACATCACAGCATTATGTGTTGTTTGAATCACACATGGAGGACACATTTATGTCAATGTATCCCATTAGGATTATGTTTGGTAAGACAGTGCTCTCTTCCCCCTGTAACACACTGGTTCCCAACAATTCACATCCAAGTCATGCCTTTTTATGAACCCTCATTAGACCTTATACTTTTTTAACCTGCATCATGTTTGCTTCTTAGGTTGCTTTCATTAATGTTTCAAATCCCTGGAGGCAATGGAAACAGCCGTGTGGAAGTTCAGCTGCAGTTTAGCAGCGTGGGAGTTACATAAAACTGACTAAAAATGGCTCGGACCTCAGAATACTAACAATAGAAAGCTAAAGTAGATCTATTAATGCCCCCAGAGCATAAAAGTGTAAACCTGGTCTGAGCAGGTGGAAGTCATTCATCATCTGTTCTCATCAATTGTGTAAAAACAACAATAGAAAAGGGAGAAGGCGTTTGTGCTGTTTTTAGGACTATATTTATATTTGAAAAAGCTTAGTCTTTTGTGCTTTGTCCGGTTTGTTGTTTGTCATGTCTCGTTGCCCTTCGTTTCTCTTTCCCCTCACCCCAATTGTTCGCAGCAGATGGCTGCCCCTCCCTGAGCCTGGCCCTGCTGGAGGTTTGCTTGTGTTAGAAGAGAATTTTTTTTTTATTGTTGTGTTTTTTGCCACTACTATCGCCAAGTGCTTTGTACATCGATGTAGGGGTCTTTACTTTTATATAAAGAGCCTTGTGCTGACTACTGCTGTGATTTGGTGATATATAAATAAGCATGAATTGTTTCCCAATACCTTAGACTCCCGAACTCTGTTTTTTATTCAGTTTTAGCTTTTTTTTTCAAAGCATGTTTTCATTTTGTGTTCATTTTATTCCCCTTTTTACTTTCTCCTGGGGGATGCTTTGAATTGCAATGTTTATTTAAAAGGTGTTACAAAGATAAATTTGCACTTTAGGACTGAAAAGTCTGTTGCAGGTTATCATTTTTACTACCAGTGCATCTATTTTCATCTTTCTCTTGCATTTTATCTAAATGATGAAATTTGGTTTATGCTTACACTGCTGTTCACTCACCTCAGTCTAAGTTGCGCAACAGACTGCTCGGGGTGTAATTAAAAAAAGGGGGGCGTGATGTCTCCTTTCTGTTCATATTTATCATCATCGTCATGACTGATCGCATTTTCCTTGGGTGGTTGGGAACCACTGTTCTAACAGATCAAGGGTATTTGCCATGTCAGCCTCTCAGATTGACCCAGGCCCGTCCAGCAGTGCATCATTCACCCAGCGTTTTCATTTCACACACAGAAACGGCACAGGTGCTTCACTGTGGACTGACGACAAAAGGACTGAGTGGGTTTTTATTTTCATTCAGGAGGCTGACATGTTTTGTGTGGAAAGCATCTGAAAGCAGAGGACGGTGGTGACTTAAAAAATACAAGAACTTGGTGTCCTGGCGTATGATCAGTATGGACAGTTCTGTTCTTTCCACAGAGAGCACTGCTTTAGATAATCCTTTCTGAGGATGCTTTTATGGACTCTTTGGTAAGTAAAAGTTTGATTTTTTAATACACAAAGGCCCAAAAGCACTGTGGCAATGCACACCAGAATGCAGAGGGCAGCTGAGATTCGGAAAGAAAAGAGACAGAGAGACAGAAAAGTCGAGAAGGGATCAGAAAAGCCTCTTCTTCCAGGCAGAAATACATTTCCTGGTCTCAAAATGGGACTTATCCCTCTCTGCCCTGTTGTTTTGCCACATTTTGGAAGGCCCCTCCCTTTTTGTGAGGAGGAGACGGCATCTTACTTACATCAAATAACCTTTCTATATACACCTCCTCATTGACCTTATCACGAAGCATATCCTGAGAGTGGCGCACAAAGGTCACGTAGCCGTCAGCTACATCCATTCCAGGTTTCTATAAGAACAGACAAAGAATAGGGTCACGACTCAGGAGAAGAGCAAACAAGCGGCTGTACCAATAATTACTGTCTTCAAAAATCACTCAGATGATATTTTGTTCAGCTTTAAATGCTCACAAACAAAACAGGAAAGTCGGAGGCTGTTAAACTTACAGGTACATCCACATATTTTGAAGCAGCTTTCACCTGAAAGTCGAAACAAAACCGTCAAACAGTGGCTGAAAGGTGAAATGTTAATTATCGTCAGATTCATTAGGGCTTGGAATATTTTACTATTAAAGATACATAACTAGAGTTCTTTTACCCTTTTTTAACCCCCCATGAGACAAAAAAAGCAGGCTTTCAGGAAATACATTCAGTTTTTCAGAATATAAAGTGAATTTTTTTTAAGAATACTTTCAAGAAAAATAAACTGAGGGACTGAAGAAAGAAAAATCTTACCGTGAATGAAAGGAATGAAGAAAAGAGAGTGCCTTCATCATATCTGGAAATTTTGGCCAGCACTCCCTCCAATATAGCAACAAACTGAAAAACGAGAGGAATCATGAACAATCTAATAATCATATTTTAAAAAAGTCAAGTTACATTTTTTTCTACTATTGTTATCAAAGTAAGCTGATATGAAGCTGCACCTTTGCAACCAGAAGCTGAATCATGTCCCTCACACTCTCCTCAATCAGCTCGTCTATCTGGGAGTGGAACTGTTTCTGTGGAAAGCAGAAGAATTTCCAACAAAAGTGTTCACGTCAGCAAATTAAAAGCACAAAGCCTCATTGTCCAACATGCAATCATTGCCCCAGATGAAGTTTTTACCTCTTGGCCCATCTCCATAGCACACAATTTTGCTGATTGGTCCTTGGCGTCCACCATCACGTTGAACATGGTGCATAATGTTGGAGAGATGCGGAAATCTGTGGACTTGCTGCTCTTTGCCAGCTTGGACTCAAATGCCATCCTGGTGCTGCAGTGCAAATTAAAAATGATACACTCTAAAATGAAAATGTGCTGCAGATGTTCATTATGCAGAAAACAAACTCTTTGCATTTTGGAGCTTTTGTGTCTCTCGCAGTTTGTCATCATCTCCCGCACAGTCACACAAATACACACCGTTTGACACAGTTCTCGATCATGTTGCTCGACATGAGCTTGATGCGGCTCTCGAGGTGTTTGGCAAACTCCTCCTCAGGCCAGTGCAGGTCCCTGATGAAAGTCTGGAGGGCGTCCAGCTTCCAGAAGAGGTCCTCCGATGTCCCGGAGCCATTACTGCCATTGACCCAAACACACATACACAGGTCAGAAGACAAATGTCAACCTGTTACCTGGGGGGGGGGGATTAAAGGTTTGGAGAGGGTGGGGGTTGTAGTGGCAGGAGCAGAGGTGGATGCTGTGCCGCTACACTTTATTTTTTTTAACACAATTTTGCTCTGGCCATATACTGACTGGTCCACCTACGTGTCTCCTTTCCTGTTTGTTCAGGAGTTTCTGGACAGTCAGTTTATGGGCGAAAAAGGAGCGGGAAGGGTTTACTGTAACAGATCAATAACCATGCTACAGAGTATGATTATTGACTGGTATGTGAAGTGGCCACATGCAGGTAAAGTCACTGCAGATACAGCAGCTAATCACACAAAGGAGTAGGGAATGGAGGAAGTGAGGGAGGGCGTGCAAAAAAAAAAGAAAAAAAAAAAAGGCATTTATAGTCAGTGTCCAAAAAACATTTTAAAAAATCTCCAAATTGGCTTCACTCATCACAGGCCCTCTCTCAACATCCATGTCCCCAGGCTGGTGGGACCCCTGGAAGGATTATCAAACAAACCATGCAGACCTTTTTAGCCATCCTGAGTAGAGCTGATTGGGAAAAGTGTTACATTTAGAGTGAGGAAGGAAAGGAGATGAAAACAGAGGCAGAGAGGTTTGAACTCCTGCCTCTAAGCCTCTCCACTTTATCATCTCCACTCCGAACCGCTCTGTCTGCCCTCCCAATCAGACTACTAGCAGGTGGTCAAGGTCAGAGATGAACCTACGGCCATGTACAATCTACAATTCGCTAAGCATCACTAGAGCAAATGTTTGTGGACAACAACTCTGGGGAGATACACATTTTGTACAATGGAGATCTTGATGTTTCAAATGGGGAACATTTTCTGCACGGTAGAACTCCAATAGCCTTAGAACTACTTTTTTTTTTTTGCTTGATTCGTTTTTTTTTTTTCAGCCTGTATCTCCACACCTCAGCTCAACAGCATGCATGTTGAGACAAATGAGAGCATTACAGCCTCTCATTTTAGAAAGCACGTCCCCATCTACTCTAACACCTCTCAGTGACCTTGGCATGAACATGAACAGCAATAAGTGGCAAGTATTCACAGGAGAAAACCGATTCAGATTTTGTTGAATTTAAATGTCAGTTTCGACTTCATTTACATTTTTTGCTACAATTTCAAAATTTGGCAAATCTTTTTTAATTGTCCTTACTCATGGGCATCTTCATACCAAGTTATCACTGCTTTCTCAGTAAATCTAAAGTGAACTAGTTGAATACACACTCAGAGTCATATATAGCAGCCATCCATGACGGGGTAGAAAAGCTAGGCATTTGTGGAAGGTTAACTGATAGTCCTGCTACTGGCACTGGCAGATTTGGTACTTTGGGAATTTGGAGGTTCACATTTGGTAGATTCACATTGGGCAGATTACTTGTTAAACTCCTGCAGAAAAGACAGACAAAAAGAAAAAAAAAGAATCCATAACAGTGGCGTGGGAGCTGCAGAAAGCAATGTAACACTCATCATAAAAGTAAAATCTGAAAATATGTGAAGACTGGAACAAAGAGTAACGCACATGAAAGGGACGGTAACTGTCAAAGACTCACATTTTACAAAAATACTCAAGAGTAAAGAGAGCTGGACACACACATAAAGTATTAAATGCAGCGATAGAGACAAGCAAAGTAATACTGAAAACCCAAAAAATGAACACGAATAAAGACCAAGAAAATACAGGTTACCTTAATACACTTTAAATATAATCTTTGCAATGAAAGGAAAATGTGAAAGCAGACATATTAAAGCCACAACAAATAAAGTAGCAACATAACACACTGGAGGCAAATTTTTTTCTGGTAACATGTCAAAGCACACGTCATGAATGTTAGTTCACACACAGAACAACAGGGATACTATGTTTTGCCCTGACCCCAATGTGTCGGCGAGAATTGGTGAGACATACATTAATCAAGCACTATTTTCAGACTAGAAAAACCAATTTCTTCTACAGGATAAAGAGGTTGCTCAGCCCACACTTGGCTCGTTCTTTAAAAGTGAAGCTACAGGAAGCTTGGATGAACATTACAGCTGCGCTACCAGATTTTTCAGCCTCCACACAGTCAGTCAGTCTGTCATCTGCATAAAAAAGCTTTGCATCTCCAGCCATCCTACAGCCTAGCTATAAAGACGGAAGCTCCTTACTTTACAGGCTCCCAGGACTCTCTCTCAAAGCCCTTGTGAATTGATTGTGCGATGGAGGACTCCATCAGATCCACATATCTAACCACCAGAGGAGCATACAGATCTTGAAGATGTTTGTGAAACTTTCCATTGCACAGATGATCTATGAGGGGGGGAAAAGCATGTTACAAAAGGATATCATACTTTTTTCTTTTTTTTTTAGATGAAAATACCTGAAGGTAGCTGAAACATAAAGATGGGCCAACTGCATGAACTTACAATCTGTCCGGAGGAAGTCATTGAGCAGCTGGAAAAGGGGAAAGCTGTCCCAGCTCTCAGGTGACTGGATCTCCAGAGCGGCATCCATGTCGATGGCGTAGAGGGCCAGGAAGTTTTCTGCATGTTCCACCATAAGGTCTGTCCACCATGCAAATGCCTAGAGACACAGCAGGAGGGAAAGCAAACAGGTGAACAAGTCCTCCTGTTTAAAGATGAGAGGGAAAGGAGGGAATAATAAACACTACTGGACAGTATCGCTCTTAAAAGGAAATACCACTGGGTTGATGCATGTTTGGTGTGTTGAGGGAATAGTTTGGCATTTCGGCAAATATCCTTACCCTTTCTTGCTGGGACTTGATTTTTCATACGTTGGATGTAACACTTGAATATGAAGCTAAAGTCAGAAGCTGGTTGGGTTTACTTAGTTTAAACACTTGAAACAGAGGGAAGCAGCTAGACTACCAGGGTCTCACAGCACAGGGTAAGAGGCAGGGCGCACTCCTGGTTTTTAAGTGGGCTTTTTGTATTACCTACACTAATTGGCAGGTCACACAGTATTGGTATGCACAAGTTTGCTAGCATCACTGTATAACCTAGCGCTTCTCTTTCTCAACCAAGCATTGATGATACATTTCCTGTTATACTAGAAAACATATAAAGCCGAATGCACCACAGACCACCCTCTCAAATGATTTCAGTAATTGCAAAACCTGCCTGTAGCTATTTGCATTTGTTTATCTGTGATCTGGTTAGCATTTTAAAATCGAGTGTAAACAGAGTTGCCAGAAGACTGATTTACTACCTTTGAGCAGTCCAGCTGCTTCTCTCTGTTACAGGTGTCCATTAGACGTCCCCTGTTATTTAATTTGAGAAGATATTTGGTTATATTTGTGGATACCGAATGACTTTTCCGTGCCGTGTGTGAATTCTGTAATTGCCGGGTATTTCCTTTCAAATGAACAGAAATTCTATCACAGCTGTCAGCTTGTGTGCTTGTGTATGTTTTCCATGGCATACAACTAGATCAAATCCACAGCTCTTCCTAATTGGTACATGAATTCAAATCCAGATTATACTTGGGAGAAGATTTGCACAGTGGGGTTGCATCTTTGTGCCTTCTATTCATGACAGTATCTTTACATCTAGGGTGCTCTTCTCATGCAAACGTGGATCTCCCTGCATGCTTTTCTCTCCAGCTGAGAGATGAGGGGGTCCACCATTCACATCACCAACAAACCCATAGCCCACTAGATGTGAATGTGTCTCATGCACATCACTGTCTAGACACACCAAAGACTGCAGCATACAGCATCTCTAGTGTTGGAGTGTGTCTGTTCCAATTAGTTAAGTAGGTGTCTGAGATTCAGCGGATCGTTTTTCTAGCACAGTCAGGACTTTCTCACCCTTTGACAGCAGAGGTACAGTAGTTGCTTTGCTGGCAGTCTTGGCTTGGCTTATTTGCTTATCATTCAGACTAACATATTGCCAAGTTCAATTAATGAAGCTGAATTTTTCCAAGTTATGCTGCATGCTCTACTTTACTGCTGTTTATTGTTAATCGACCACCTTATTTAACCACCACAGCAGCAGTCAGAACCGTACTTACCTTCCTACTTACCTGTCCACTTCAAACGTTTAAAAATCATGATAGCTCTAATGTTAGAAACACAGGCAGCAAACAAGGCTCTTCTCCATCGCATTCAAGGATATATACTCTTATATCAGCTAAAGGAGAGGACAGTAAATAGCTTCCAACAGGGAAGGGGAAAGGCTCAAAGGTCACCAGGCAGAGTAGCCTCCAACCTTTGTTAGTGGTTAAGGAACACATACAGGACCCTGAGAAATCTACGGCAGACCCACTGTTCAGCCAAAACAAACTCTAGTGCTGTATCAGTGCAACCATGTCAAGGGACCAGTCTTAAAGGGGGTGTAGTTTGCTTAGGGGAGAGATGTAGAATCATCTACTGGACATGCACAGAGCATTACGGGAGTTTCTCATTCAACTTGACTACATACCTCTTTTCCCTGCTTGGGCAGTCACCAATCATATGACAGTGAGAATACAGGAAGATGTTCAGAACAATAATGTATTTTTGAAGCATTTCTTTGTTAGGGTTTGTAAACTGAGAATAGACAGCAGAGAGGGATGGAAGAGGAGAAGCTGGAGAAGTAATGCTTAAACAGGTGCGGACTGTGAAATTAACTGCTGGATGGAGGGGAAACAAATGTTTATGGAGGATCAAACTTCAAAGGTTCACATGGAGCATACTTTGGGAAATTTACTGGTTCAGCATGCTAGGATAGAAAGGAAACCTCTTTATGGCCCGATGAACATGCTTTATGATAACAATTATGTTGTGCAAGCTAAAGTGTTTTTTTAAAAATTTATATTTAAACAGATTTGCTCTCACTTCTGTGCCTACAAACCCACCCACTGAGTTCATTCTCTGTCTAGAAACGTGCTTCTTGCCATAGTGGCGCACATGCCATACAGGAGGGTCGTGATGGGGACTGAAGAGGAAAAAAAGAAAAAAAAATACTGTACCGATTGATCTCCAGAACTTGTGACTGCCGCCTGTCAAGCATATTCAGAGAGATACAGTAAATCTGCTTTATCTGTATATTCTAAGATCACATTTGGATCACCTTCAGATCTACACAGCTGCACATGTTCATCATGCTTTCCATCAGCTTGATGTCTAAAGTCGCCAACACGATGGAATAAGGAAGCTAGATGGATTTTTAAAAGGAGATGCCTTCCTTGAATATTGGTTCAGCTTGTTCTCATTCCCAGAGTGCCAAATACTACCATTCTGTCAAAAGCTGCTAATATATTGAGATATGCGCAAGGTGTTGACTGGTGATGATGACACTCATATCACAGTTAAACCCACTGGGTAAGTGCAATTTGTCAGTGTGCACAGTTGTAAAGGGGCAAAATCCAAAGTGAGATCTCTTCCTACTTCTAACCGAGTCGATTTTTATGCCTAAATGCTTAAAATTAGTTAGTGAAAAACAAGCAAAACAAGCAAAACAAAGCACAAAGCGCAAATGGCTCACAAACCAAAGTGATTTGCTCCACAAAGACTCCTCCAATCACTTAATGCCAAATTGGTTTCTTTAAAGGAGGATCTGTGGAGGTGTCCTGTATTGCTAGAGCTCGTGTGTCAAGGCACATTTGACAAAGAAGAACTTTTGCATATATCTGCAAACATATATAGCAGAATTAGACAGGACAGCAGTGTTTGACACCCTGGGATGAGAACATGTCCATTAGCTTGTGGTGCTAAACCAAAGCCATACAGATCTAAAGGTAAAACAGTAGCAAAGACTGTGTTTAAGTAAAAAGTTAACTAATGTCAATTTCACCATTTTATTTGGGACAAAAATATGCTAAATGTCAAAACAGCAGTATATCTTTGTTGACTCCATTGGAATAAACTGGTGAAATTAAGACTGACTGAGTTGTTACAGTTTATGCTACCTTATACCTCCACTCCACTCCATTTCACTGGGATGTATTATACTTGTGACTCCACTAGATTTATTCAACACACATCTTTTCTTTAAGACTATATTTATTCACATAAAATCCTATTTGAACTTACAACTTAGAATGCTCTGTTTATATTTAAACCCATACATGTCAGTTTTTTAGGCTTTTGAACCTTTTTGAAATACTTCACATGTGGCTATGTGAATTCCCATCTAAACCTCTCAGGTTTCATTTACATGGCTTTCACGATTCCCCCAAGAAAAAGCAAAAACATTATCTGATTTAAATGTGGTGATCTCTCCTTGAAGGCTTTTTACCTGTGCACCTCTGGAAAGCCTTTCACCGCAAATCTCAAACTTGCACTTTTGTGTCAAACTACCTCAACCTGTCGAGACTCATTACTGAGCTGGCTTTTCAGTACAACCCAGAGAAGAAAAAACAGTTTTCAGTGGAAGAGCCAACAGACAACAAGACTGAAGGTGGCTCATCGGGTGAGGAGCGGGACCAAGAGCAGGGCTAGACTGGTAAACTGGCATATCGGGCATTTTCCTGGTGGGCCGACTCACTTTTGGACCGATGGGGCAACTAAAAGACCGCTGCACACTGGCCCCACAAGCACTGACAGCAGCCCATTCATTCAGCTTCATTACTGCCACTGTATTGCCCAATAAAATGTCTTAACTACCAAGCCCGCCTCTACATTCGCCCAAGTAGCTTAGTGTTGATGAGGTAGTGAAAAAGTGGAGCTGAAATGCTGAGACAGAAAAATAGAAATAAATGCAGCAAAATTAACCGACATGTTAGCTGTCGGGGCTGCTGCACCGTCAACTCCTCCTCGTAAAAAAGTGCACGAGGAGGGACCACAGCGAGGGAGACGCCTGGACCAAATATGCCAGGGCCGATTTTGTGTCCCAGTCCAGCCCTGAGCAGGAGTATGCTTCCTTTTTAAAAATTCACCAGCTTTGAATTCATCCCTCAGAATTTAAATGTTAATGCTTTCGATTGTTGCTCCCCGCTAAGCCAGCTTGCCAGACTTAGGTCCCTGTAACTCTGGCCTCTTCCACAAAATGCAATTCAAGCTAAAGGCTTTTGACCATTTTGACACAATGGTGGACTGCAAGGGAGCAATCTAAACATGCCGGTGCCTAAAGCGTACAAGGAGACAGCGCTGGAGAAGGTAACAGCCATATTTAAATCAGGTAATGTTTTTGTTTTTCATTGGTAGAGTCACAAAACACACTACAATACAGACTATGGCAGTTTAGTATTATTGATAAAAGCATCTAATTGAATTTCACAAAGATCAGTTTTCTTGGGAACAATGTGTTTTACTTACTACTTTAAATTCAGTGTAAGGCCTGAGGTTTATTATAAGTGATCTTGTTGTGTGTGACCAAAGGGAAGCAGCGCAGTAGAAGCCATGAAAATGCGCATTAACTTGTTTCACCTTGTGTTTTTTCTTCTAGCCAAACATCTATACTGGAGTATCCTCAACATAATACTATCGTTTTAACAACTTATGTAAAACTAATGCACTGTCATCACAGCAAAAAAGATGCCATTGTACCATTTCTGTCTAATTTACAGTCTACCCTCAAACATGGCCCTCTGATTCCATGTGGCGATGGTCCGTTGAACACCAATTAGAGCTTTCCGAAATTAAATTAATCTTTGAAAGTTTTTTCCTTTTTTTTTTTAGATACCCATAGATGAAAGCAGCTTTATTTATAGAGGATTGATAATAAGGCTAGCTCCCTGCTGTGGGGCAAGTGAGATAAGAGTGAGAGCATAGAGGGAAAGTGCTTTGAGGAGGAGAGGAGGAGAGGGTTCTCACTCACCTCCGCATGGTGTTCCTGGTTCTGCTGGAGGACCTCTATGACTAACTCCGCCAGGCGAATTGTTTCCTCCAGCTTTTTGGCAGGCGTGACTAAGCGGCCTACGTTCTCTGAGACAAAAGGATGAGGGTGAGGGATGAGTGGTTAGTCAAGCACAGAGGATTCCAGGGGGATTTTTATGACTATTCAAAAGATTTTTTTTTCTGTTTATATTTTTGACCGTTTAATAAAAGTATAAACACAGCACTTACGCTGTGATGTTTACCTACCATACCCCCCATAACAAGTAAAGCGTGTTCTTATTTACTGTGTATGCATTTTGGGCTGCATGACATAAAGCAACAGAGTTGATGCATTTATGGGATAATCAGACTCATGTTGGAGGAGTATCAGACACAGGAATAGTGGCGCTGAGATGGAGGTGCAATGCAGCATTGAAAACATGCATATTGTGTAGCGGTACTGAATAAGCCATCTGTATAAGGAGCTGTCTCATGGCCAAAAATACTCTGTGAACACGCACAGTAAAAATTATTCATTCCTTCTCTTTGAAGTTATATGATTGGATGAGATTATTAATTCAAAGCTAATAGTACTGGATGTCTAATAAGGATCGGGTTCTCTACAAACACTCGTGGCTAGAACTACATGAAAGGGACATTTATACATATTTCTGTAATTCTTTTTTTCTTAAGACCAACAAGTGTATAAGAATCTTCTTAAATATATATTATTTTATAAGTAATCTGATCTCAATGTAATAATACACACATTGGCTGGCTCATAGTTTTCTTTGTTAGAACTAATTTTATAAAAAGGCAGGTGCTTGGATCAAATTAATAAAATAGTTGCCAATTATCTGATGAAATTCCTGAAGGTAATGAATATTTTTTACAAGCGTGCTGATTTTGGATTTCTCTTAAACTGTGCTTATGTGCTCATGAAAGCTGTTCCTCACTTATCAGCTGGTGACTTTGGTCTATGATTAGCAAAAGCTCCAAATCACTTGCTCGTACCTTTGTCGGCAGAACGATCTGATAAAAACAGATATGTGTCATGAAATGGAGTTGTTCCTTAAACACTGTGATTATATGGCATGACATATTTTGAACATGGAACTGAATGGCTACACAGATCTGAAATCAAAAGCACATAAATACATAACTCTACATAAAACAGTAGAAGTCTGCAGTCGGCAGTTCTAACTGGAAGCCTTTTGCTGTTTTCATTATTATTTTAGGGTTCTGCGGGTATTGCTGCTCAAGCCAAATGAATATTTTTTTCGGAGCCTGGTGAAAAATTAAGTGAAGGAACCCTAAGCTAGCAGTAGAGATTACACTTTCAAATGCCACATAGAGGGAACTGAGCTGTAAAGTAATATTTAAGACTTCTAATAATGCCTGATCACGAGGGTTTGAATTAGATATAATATGGTTTAAAGAGGAGCAAAGTTTTGTTTGTTTTGTTGTTGCTTTTTTATTCCATTGCACATGCGCTCCAAGAGAAAGCCATACAAACTCCACAAAGAATGGCCCTGTCCAGGTTTAAACCCAGGGCCTCCTGACTGGGAGGCGAGGGGGATATTTGGGATGGTTTCAGATGTCTCAAATTTCTTATACTTGAGGTTTTGTGGTTGTCTTTAGCATCTGTGCTACATCTTTGCTTTACTTTACTCCCAGACAAAAATCCCCATAATGCATATCTTTATATAATGAGCTCATTTTCATGTGTGGCCTGTGGTGAAAATGTATGCTAATTTGTGTGATGGGGGGGGGGGAGGTTGCATTAAAGTGTTGCTTATGTCTTTTTAAATTACATTATAATGTAGATAAAAATATAGGACCATATGTAAGAGATTGCATTACTTTATGGTTTTGATGGTGTCTTAACATGTCTACCGAAAAACACACTTGTTCACCTTTATTCAAGTGTGAGTACACTACATTTGAAATGAGTGAGAATAACATTTTCAGCCGTATAATTCACTGCTCCAGATTTGAATCTGGAAAAATATAAAGTAGTACAATCTCTACAGCTTTACTGCTTTTTTAAGACATGCCAAGACATTTGAGAACTTGTACAATATTTAAAGTGTGTATAGAAGATGTGCTAATGGTAAATGCATGCATATGTCTTACACTGATTTGCAGTAAACATGTGTGTAAGGTGTGGGTGTATTTGTATATGTAAATGTAAGTGTGCACTATAGCTAAACCATAAGCTAAACATGGGTTCACCTGGATCCTTTTGATCCTTTTGACCTTTCTCAACTTCAGCGAGAAAAAGGGGAGAGAAAAGATAAAAAGGAGATGTTTAGAATTAGCACGGCTCTATGGTTATTTTCACGAAAGGGGATGGGGGCTTGGGGGAACTCAGGCTTGTTGTTCATCGCCACGTGACCCTTTAAATGAATCTGCTGGGACACTTTCAGCTCCAGGGACTGACGCTTCTGGGCAACAGACAAACGTCACAAACACACAATAAAAAATAGAAACACTGAACCAGTAGCCTGTGGAAAATTTAAAAAAAAGTGATAAGATGTTTTTTTTTGTTAACAAACAGACAAAGCTTCGACTATTGCAAACAGGTAGGGGACACAAACAGCTTAAAGGACCGTAGACAGGACACGCTGAGTGACTTGAGTTGACCTGAGTCAAGTTAAAACACAAACTGGAGCTGTTACATCCATACACCCTATCCTGTTGTTCCCATTCAATAGCTCTGTCAACAGATGCTCTTTCACTGTCACTGGAGACACGGTGACAAACAAGCCTACCTGTTCGGCACAGCACACCACTGACACATGATCAGACCAAATGACTGAAAACAGATACCAATGTAAGCAATATAAAAATGCATTCAAGTCAAAGGAATGGGCTTCAAACCAAAAGAAAGAAGCTTACAGACCAGACCGCTCATTCATGTCCATCACAAACAGATGGTGCAAAAAAATGGACCCCTACTGATTCTGTGTGGTACTGCTCAGATCTCTCGACTGGTGCACTCCCCACTCACTCTCACAGACAAAGGCACAGATAAAAACAAGCATGGCAGGAGCAACATTTCTGGAGAAAGAGAAGAGGCAGAAGGGAGGGGATGAGGTGAAGGTGCGCTTAAAAGAATGAGGGGGGGAATGGGAAGAGATGATGAAGGTACTCACGGATGGTTAAATCCATCACTTGAGATGCCAAGCAGAAGACAGGGTGCTCAAACATTTCCCTCTTTTTCCCTATAAAAAAGGATCGGGGCATGCAAAAGGATGGGGTCAGAAGGGGGAAGTCTAGAGGTCAGAGGGTGATGGGAAGAGGGCTGTCCAGGTGAAGGAGACAATCTGTTGGGCAGGAGGCCCAATAATAAGGTCAAATCGTTGGTAAAATTTGAATCAGATGCCTCACAAGGACAGGTGGAAATAAATTCACACAGCATGAAAAGATAGTAAGGTTTCAATCCTTAGTATCTTTAGCACCCTGAGGGATTTCTTTCAAGGCATAAACAACATCAGAGATCTCTATGTAAATGTGCATGTCAGTGCAACTGGTATGTTGAAAAATAGACACAGCAAGAGGAAGAAATAAGACATCCTAAAATGTCTTTATGTATTTTTTCATATGTAATCCATGCCAGTAAAGAAAGGCCGTGTTATGTCTCAAAGCACATGCAAGGCTGATGCTGGTTTGTATGCATTCAATCCCAGCATTCCTTTGGTTAGAAGCCACTCATCACATAGTGGAGAGGTTAGAAAAAGTGACATCTGTGTGGAGAGGGGGGAAAAAAAGCAGAGCAGACAGGGGAGGGAGCAGAAGATAGTGGTCTTCAGCAAGAGCATAAGACACAGTTGACAGGAGAGCTGCTGGTATTTCAAGGCAGGGAGTGTAAAGAGGGGCGGGCAGAGTCAGCTGGAGGTATCAGAGAGGTTGGAGCTAACAGTAAGATAGTGGAAGAGAGGGAGTGTGTGTCGACTGGGAGCTGGGAGTCATTTAAGCTGAACTTACAATCCAATCATCAAATGTCAGAAGCCAGGATACTACACAGCTCGAATAGTCAAGGCACAAAGAGAGATCGGCACATCAACAGATTTCAGGGCTTTGGATTTGAATGCATTTTTACTCACACACCTCTACACAAAAGCCAACTTGACCTACAGAACAGCACAGAGCTAAAGCAGGCCTGAAACAAAGGAGAGAGTTATTGGACTGAGAGACAGAAAGTGACTGTGACAAATCATTTGTCACAAATCATTTGGGATATGGACACAAATATACCATATACCAAGTGAATTTACCATGTGTAAATTAATTGATAACATGAAAGGCAGTCTTACAGAAGAAAAAGAACATATGGAGATATACTGATTGTTCACTCTGCCGTTTTTTTCTACCAAACCACTGACTGGGCACTTCAATCTGAGTCTGTAAAACATGACATCTTCATGATCAGTAGGAATGTTTATCAGATGCATAGCATTTGTACCCTGATACCAGCAGTCATTATGTGACAGTGAATTGTGTTGTTCTGGTTACCTTCAATTTTAGCATAGTCTTTAATCCGCTGGTAGTTGAGCTGAGCAGCCTGCTCCAAACATTTGCGAATTACCCCTTTAACTTCTTCTGGTGGAACCGGGGTCACAATGTCCTTCATCAGGACCTGCAGGCCACATCGAAGATGACTCACAGAACCTCAATATTTCAGAGGGCACCTTTTTCATTGTTCATAAAATGTTTTTATTTAAGCATTTACTAACCCTCTCCAGCAAAGATAAAGTGGCCTTCAGTGCACCCTCTGGACGACCGAAGGGGAAACAATATCTACAAGGGAAGACCGAAGATTTAATAACAGAGAAAAATACCAATAACCGGGATGTTTTGTGACTTGGTGTAATCTGGTTTTAGTGAGGCGGCAATCACCTGAAATTTACAATCCGGTTTTCCAATATCACACGCAACCGCTCCTTGATGTCTTCAAAGCGCTCCTTCTCATCCACTGTCACTGTAGTCAGCCCGTCTGGCCTATGAAGATCGCACCCACAAACGTTAACCCAGCTGCAACCCCAAAGTCCAACGTATATAACCCTTTATCTAAGCCCCCAAATCTCTGGTTAACAGCTTTCACACCCCAGGGAACTGATTGAGTGATTTTTTTTTTCTTTTTCTTGAGTTCCCTCCAGTTTTACACATTGAAAAAATGACCATGTCTCACCTGTTTTCACCTTGAATCAGTGGATTTTTGGACTCCTTTTTCTTTCTAAACTTGAATATGCATGCTCGTTTAGAGGCAGCACGGGGATCTGGGCTTTGGGAGCTCTTTGGGGATTTTAGGACCTCATAGCCCAGTGGGCCCCAGTAACTGATGCCCTCTCTGACTTTAACAGATGCATGGGAGGATGAATAATATGGACAGTAAGAGACTATGGCAACAAAGGACAGAGAGAAAAGAAAAAAAAAAACAAAGAAAGTGGTAGAAAACAAGGAAATATGTAGAGATACGCAATTGATTAACAACATAACATGAAATTACAGAAAGAAAGGCCAAAAAAAATGTACAACAACATAAAAAATTAAGAAAACATAAACATGACAAAAATAATTTGATGGAAACAAAACCTTTCCGTTCTGATCCTATCCTGTGTTAATGCATCTTTAAATTTCTCAACTGCTGCATCCATAGGAGGCATAGCTTTGCCTGACAAAGTGTAATTTGTTACAAATGAAGGTTGAAAGTCATAAAATGTAAATATGTTTATAAATGTCATAATGTTTCATAAAGAAGGACTTAGCGCACACCTGTTCCCATGGACATGAGAGGCACAAAAAGCGAAGCTGTAGTGAAGAAGTGTGGGGTCGATAATGGCCCCATTTTCTGCCCTTTCCAGGAGATCACGCAGGTAACACAGGTGTCTGTGACAACCCCGAACTCCGTTCCTTGCGCAGTATTCATCCAAGACAAACACCTGGCCCGGACTGAACCATCCCTACACCACACAAACACAGACACACAGTGTACTACTTGATAACAACTGACTAAAGAGCACTCACTGTCATTCATGCGACAACGAGCGGAAACAAACTCACCAGGCAGCAGAAGGTGTCGTTGAGCCTGTGGTCCAACGTGAGTCGCTGCATCATCTCAAAAAGCGAGGCGTGGTCAAAGCTACAGGGGTTAGCGGAGATAAATTCATCCATGCCATGTTTCTGAGCTCTGTCAGCGTCTATCCGGCCAAAGGCACAGGGAAAAGCACACGGTTCAGAGGAGACGACATCAGTGAGGCACAGGGCAACAGTCTTCATTACAACACGAGAAACACCAGGGAGGCTTTTTTTTGGGCTACTTCTAAGGGCAAATTATAAACACTTACAGCTTACATTGTCAACTTGCATTGTGTCAGATAGCGTAAAGAGTTTTCTTGTATTGGTGGATGAGATTCTATCAAACTGAAGCTAAACTCAAAGGGACGGGTGTTTCTACTGTATGTGCATTCATGCATCTAATGTTTTGCAGGGGAAAAAATCCTAAAAAAGCCAAAAGGTGTTTGGATGAAATGCTGTAAATAATATGTAAAAAAAAATATTAGATCCATTCTTCTTTATGTATTCAATAGATTCTGCCATTCGCGACTGTTGTCACTCAGGTCCTGATAGATATTGACACGTGTGCTAATAAAAAAGGCACAAATATGGCAAAGGAGAAATCATTTGAACATGCTGTAAAAAACAGTTCTAACAAAAGAAAAAAAAAAGTTATTTTGAGAAACAAATTCTTAAGATTTGCAGATTTCTCTCTGAATATGGATGCTGAACCTCTACTCGAGCTCTATTGGGTTTTTAATGTTTATCTTGCTACAGTGCTTTTGCCACTAACCTTCTCTGTAACAAGAGGACTTTTCAAAATGTTAAACCTGCTCCCTAAATGAAGAAAGACATTAGTAACATTAAACAATGACAAAATGAAAAACATGGAATGGAAGTAATGTAAAAATGGGTGTTGAAACCATTAGTGGGATAATCTTTTTTTTCTACCCTCTAAACCAAAACAGTCATTTCTTGTTCTGCAAATATTAAAGCTGTCAAAGAGAAAAATGGAAAAAATGATGGGGACGAAGATGTTTCAAAATAGATAAGAGGCACAGCCATGTCCTCTGTGTGAGTGACAGGTGTCATGTCCAAGAGACACTGACATGAGTGATGATGATTTTGGGGGGTGGGTGAGGGAAGCGGAGACCTGATCGTGGTAGGGCAGGAAAATATTGAATAAAGCACAAGTGACATCTATCAACCTCCAGGTCAGTGAAGGGGAAAGAGGGGAAGGGTTTAATGTGGGTGCTAAAACTTAGCTGAAGTTTGCCAAAAAAGGAACCTGAAGGAAGGTACATTTTAGCAAATTTTTAATCCAATCTGAGAAAGAAAACCTGTAAGACAACAAGTAAAATGTGGACAATAAAACAGGGAAACAGAGCGAAGAGGAGAGGAGGGACAAGACAGGTGCAGTAAGTTATCATGTATAAAGGTAACGCTATGAAAGAAGACAGTGAACGGCGTTACAGATGAGTGGAGCGTTGGTTAAGAGATGATGGCAGGATGAAAAAGGATCTGGTTGGTCAGAAAATCTTTCAATTTGACAATAACATGGTGGAAAGTGGTGACAAAGAAAACACTGTGGCAGACAAAAAAGGAAGTGAGGCGTTGAGAAAACATCCAAAGAGTGAGCACAAGGTGTCAGGTGTTGGACTATGAGACACAGAGAGTGGGCTACATTTCCTTTAGTTGGAATAAAAATGGAGTTTAAGTCCAGAAAACACTCAATGCTATAGTAACATTACTATAACTCTCAAGATAAAATAACCAAATTGCCAAAGTAAATATGAGAGTACTTTTGCATACATTTATAAATGATTACATGCTGGAGAACAGTGTGACTTTTCGTAAAGCTTTTAATTATGTCATGCACATCTGCAGACCCATTTTCAAATTTGCAATTTTGATCATTTTTTTTATGCATTCCTCTTTTTTTCCCTTCTCTACGCATTTGCAAGTTGACAATACTTGAATATGTTGCAGTGTATTCATGATCTCTACAGAGCACACTAACAGGCATACCACTACCGGAGAACTCTAATAGGGTAGCAATACAATTTTGGTGCAAGTACATGGGTAAATAGCATGAAGCCGACAGAGGCAAAACTGTATCATTCTCTGGGAGATGGGGGAAATGAATGAAAACTCCTGTATTTGTACAAAAGTATGGACACATGACACAGGTGTTCTCCTATTCAGGCAAACAAGGGCAGTCAAAAGAAATCAAATGAGATTGCTCCTTTCTGGAGGTGTAGTTACCGGTCTAGCCTCTATCTACAGGCCCATCTACTGTAGGAGGAAGGAGTGGGAGTCCGGAGTATTTTATCATAAGACGGGGCGGCATTAGCTACTCCTTGTCTTTGGCATTCAGAATACTCCGCGTACATATTTGCCAACTCTCGTCAAGAAAAGTTCAAAGAAAAAGAATTAAAAGCAATTGAGCCCTCTGAAGTAAAGCATAATTAACATAAACACTTTGGGGAAACAACTGCATACACAGGCTGTCATCGTAATTTATCCATATCTCTATCTTTAAAGAAACACATGTAAACATTAGTCTTTTACAGTTTCGTCTGTGAATCGGGTTGTTTGCAGCTCTTGATTTTGATAAGACATTTACACTAAATATTCTTGGTAATACAAAACTATGAAATCATTTCTTCATGAATAGCACGTCGCATTTTAGCCTGATATTGCTTTACTCTGAGGGGTCCTTCCACCAATAAGAATAAAGAGAGAAGGCAATTATGCAGAAACAACTATGATATCAACTTTAACTATTATTGAGCCAAATAATAATTCCTAAGAATAAAATACATGCATCCTATATTGGCACGAATGGATGCTTATACTTTCATCCTCAGAGCTGAGGTTGTTAAAAACAAAAAGTCATCAACTAATATCTAAGACATGAAGCGAGACGTGAAAAAAAAGGAGAAGAAGGAAAGAAGAGAGAAAAGGACGTTGCATTTGTCAGATAATCGGCGGGGATTATCTGAGCTGTGCCGGCTACAGGGAAGCACTTACCCTTGAGTCCAGCTAGAAGACAGCAGGGTAAGAAGGGACAAACCAGAATAACATAAAGACTAGCAACAAGGCTGGAGGAGAGCAATCACGAGAGACCCTGACCTAGCAGCTGCATTACTTAAGAAGGGTCCAGGCAAAGCATGAAGAAGAAAACACAACTCAAAAACAACAACCTATACCAACATGATAGTTTGTGGGTGGTGGTGTGTGAGTACATGTGAGGATATGTGAACAACAGATGCTGAGGCATATTAGAGAAAGGAAGAGGGAGACAGAAAGCAAGAGAGAGAAAGAGAGAGAGACAGACAGACAGAGACAGAGGAAGGAGACAGAGCTTACGATCCTCATCACTCTACTGCAGTTTACTCTTGGTTATGGACAGCTACTTAAAGAGTTAAGAGCTACACAGTAAGTACTGTCCCTTTGTTTGATTACAGAGCAAACACAAGGCTTACTCTTAAAAGGGACACTGGCAAACACAAACACCTACATTATAAAGGAAACTGGAAAAGGTGGCCCGAATCGTTTTTAGAAGAAAAAGAGACTATGAAGGTGCTGGATGAAATGAAGGTCAGGTTTTTATCACCAACCTCTTACAATTATAGCAACAAATTTAAGCACACTTTAAAGGTGCACTCTACTCGTTTTGCAAGTAATTGTTGTCACTACTGCACTTTACTGTCTGATTCTAATTGCCTTTTGTTGCGCTTGATATTTCCGCTATAGCCAGAAATGGAAGCTTTTCTGCAATGATGTAATTCTTTTTCTACAATTTCCACAAGTCCATCTGTTTTTGAACAAATAAAAAAAAAAAAAACGCACCGAGAGAAATTGTCTTCTGTGTTCTGGAGGAGCTGAGTCAGGTCAAGAAAACAACCCTTTTAATATTACAGTCAAGGACAGACGACAAGATATGGGGTTTTCTTTTTTAAATAAAGGCCTTTGATCGGATGTCCTCACACTCTATCATATTTATTTGCAGTATTATGTCAGAAAGCTGTTGCACAGACTAAACCTGTGTTATTTAACATTTTATTGATGTGCACTAAAGCTGCAGAACCTTCATAGCACTCTTCTTTTCCATCCTTTCACTGCAGCAGAGTCAGGAGGGCTGTGTATGTTATGGTCCCAGTGCCATTCAAGACCACCAGGGGGTGAAACATGTACGCGTGGTGTGCCACAATGTTTCAGGGAGGGGAAGGAGGTCTGTGCCACTGTGAGAGGCTTTGAATGGCAACAGCTGGCATCAGAGGAGTCAACTAACCACAAGAACGATCACATACTGGACAAAAAAACCGATGGAGAAACAACATAGAATCTCATGTGACAGGATTTGCATTGAGTGACCCAATTCATGTCTTCTGATACTTTTATAAAAGAGTGGAGTAAACTTGGGGCTTTGCACTTTTGAATAGTATTATTGCAACCCTGAGGTTGTTTTTTTTGTATTTGTATTTAAAGCCAATTAAATTTACATAATTATTCTAAGAAAAAAAAAATCTCATTACAATTGAAAAAGAAATTATTCTCAGCCCAAAGAGTCAAAAGATGCACACAAAAAAGTCGTGTTTGGTTCTGAATAGCAGGATCTATTATTGTGAATTGTTAAGCAGCATGTGAGTTTACATTTAGTAAGTAAATAAGCTTTGTGTTAGTGTTCTCATGGGCAAATTTAAGGTAGTTTAAACCTTTGCACAAGAATAATAAGAACTTAGTGATTATGACTCACTGCATATTAGTAACCACTTGAATAAATACAGATGTTGCTTCTAGATTTTATAGTTACAAAGATATATATTTTTCCCTTCTTTAATGAGGAGGGAGGGGACATAAGAGACGGTCAGAATAGAAGGTGATAGAGATGCCACACTACTGTAGACAGTCTTACCTTCACTTTGCTACCTGACCTGTGGACTGCTTAGAAGTGCAAGTACAGTGACAAATTGGTTAAAATTTTCAACATGAGGACCATCTGAGAAACTGTCTCAGAATAACAGCTGCCCTCGCAGCAGCCATCTAGAGTTTGCAACTGTATTAAAACAGGGCTATGGTTCGGACAAGAGCAGCACACCCTGGCACTGTCAGTCTGAATTCAACCCCAGTAGGCTTGAATGTTCAAATCTTATGTATGGTGACCTATTTAATCTTCATAAAATCTTTGCACGCCATGGCCTACTTCTGTATGATAAGGTCTTTTTTAGGTTGGTTGTTCCTTGAGAACAGACTGATGAAATAGCATGGAATCGCACCTTTACACACTGTGGGAGTGGTGACAATGAGTGGAAGTCCATCAGATGCTGGAGGGATCTGTGAGAGATAAATGCATGTGCGTGCGTGCTTGTGTGTTAGTTCTATCAGCACGTATTGTGACTGCAGTGTGGAGCGCATGGCGTGAGACAGTTATGGGTTAGAGCTTTCGCTGCTTTGTGGATGAAAACTGCTATTGCTTGGGTGATTATGTTGTGTTTTGGGCTACTTACAGAACTGAGAAATGGGAGCATCCATTTGGGCTGAGGCACCCCCTTTGGAATTTAGTTTCTGGACCTGAGTGGGTGGGACAGGCTTGTGGGACTGGCCAGTGGCGCGATACATAGCCTGGACCCACAGGATGCGGTCCTGCTCGTCGTCGCTGGCAAAGATCACAGTGTCGCCTTCCTTCACAGCATTGAAGAAAGCCCTGCCACCATCTAAGCCTAATAACGCAAAGCTGGGGATCAGCTGGTAGATATTTACATTGTGTGTGTCATTTGTTTATGTGTGTGTGAGTATAGGTATGTCCCGGTGTGAATCCTCACCTGGCTGGGGATCACTGTAGTCCACAGTATATCCGTCCAGCTGCAAAAGCTCTTGTGGTTCTGACTTTTTCTCTCGGTAGCTGCACATTGCAAACGTATACTGACTCACCTGTAAAAAGAAAAAAGTTGCAGTCAAATGAGTCACAAATAAAATCTTTCTATACAATCTTTAAGCTGGTGATTCTCAAACTGTGACCAGGCCCAACTAGTGGGGAATAAGACCAAATAAACTACTATTTAATTGTTATTAGCGGTTAAAAAATGTGGGATGTAGGATGTTAAAGCTTTTGGGGTTGTAAACTGGGACATGCTAGTTTTATATAAAACAACGACACGGACTCCTGAGTGACATGTGCTCTATATTGATTTGGTAGGCTTACAGGAACCTTTAAGCCAAAACCCGAAACGCTGCAATGATCTTAAAAACATGTTTTGTTTTTTACCTGCACGAGGACAAAGAAACGCTTCTTCCAGCGCTTCCAAACATTCTTCCCAAAAGCCCACAGATACCTGTCAAAACATTGTTCACACATGATGACAGAACACAGTAAAGCTGTCATAAAGAACACAAATGCTAACTCCATCTGAAGCGGAGTTTTTTATATTTGATCTTAAGTTATGTGGATTTGCTACATAATAACGAAAAAATAGAAATTAGAAGTTGAAATTCTTAAGAAGTGCACTTTAACTGTTACATGAATAAAATGTGATTAATGCCAAACGCTTTGCATGTGTTAGCATCTTCTAAAATGATTAAATTAAACTACACATTGGCATCCACCAGGGGGAGTAATGCACTTCACAGTACTTTTCCATGGTAGGTGAGTAGAAATGAGGCCAAGGAGCTCAGAGTTGGAGTTCTATAGGAAAGATGTGGAATATAACAATAAGAACACCACTGCACGTGCTGCTTGACAGTGGGTCGCTTACCCGCAGTGTTTCATGTTCTGTGGTTTGTCCATACGTATGGCCAGTTTGATCTTGAGATCTTGGTCAGGGCAGGCCTTGGTCACAGTCATTTTGTGGAGTTCTGACTGTTTGGGGCTGTTAGGAGTTGGGTGGAGGACAACCTGCACTCGCAGAAAAGTAGATCATTAAATAAAAGAAATTATACATGACCAGGTGGTAAATCTTTGATCTGTACAACACTGAGCAGTGTCAATCAGTCTGCTTGCATGCATTAGTGATTTTGTGGTGTGTTTGCTTTTCAAAAGAAATTTTAAAAAAGGTAGCGAGGAAGAAGAACTGTGCTTTGCTCTCCCTCCCCGAAGAGGGGGGTCTAATCTCTCTTTGCTGAGTTAAAGAGCTTTGAGGAAGCCTGCCAACTCTGCTGCAGTGGGAGATCAAAGAACCAAGGTCACTGCCACTACAGGGACGTCTGAGGCGCCGCTGCCCCGACGCAAACCAGCAACACCACCTTCCTTAACTACCTGTCACATTTACACGACAGGAAAAAGCAGGGTAAAGAAGCGATTCATGTTTCTGCTTTGTTCACGTTTGAGTCATGTTTGAGTAATGCTCAAAGGCTGGAAGTCTCTTGTTAGGAATGAGGCAAGAATTTTTTATCAGTCTACTCTCAACAGATGTGCAGCAGTCAAATTCAGATACAGCACAATGGGAAAATTTCAAAATGTGAGAGCCGTTTGTACTTTCAAAGGAGCTCATGGAAAAATAAAAAAATTAAAAAAGAATACTGGAACTAGAGCAAAATAACAAAACCCTATTTATAAATCGCAGTCATGTGACGGGACCCTGGAGACTCTTTTGAGCGTATTACAATCAGAATGATGCACAGCTACATAAATAAAACTGCTTTGAGTGACTGTGCATGTATTTCTATAATCAAAACACAAGTTTGCACTATTTTCATCGCTATGTCAACATCAGAGTGTTAGTGTGCTAATAAAACAATAAGCAGAAATGTTACCCGGCCCAGTTCTTTGTCTTCCAGTGCCAGCACCCCTGTACTCTCTGTAAACAGCTTCACCTTGACAGCAGGCAAAGGGTGTGTAGTGGTGAAGTCACCTTGGGTCCCCCAGCTGAAACAGACAACAAAAAGCACTCCAGAGGTTAGTTTCCATGACACCACGGTGAGTCCATGTTCCCATCAATTGTCATTTTTAATTGCTAGTCAGTCTGGGAGACAGATTTCACCTTAGTTGCAGTATTTTATATGTAAATTACACCGAAAATGTCAGTAAACAATTTCAAATTCAAATCAAACCGTTTTCAGATGCTTTTTGCTTTAATCAAATAAATTCAGCTGAGCCTCCTGGGACTGAAGCATACAATGCAATGTTTATGCACACAAACACTCCAATCTTTTGTATCACAGGAGAAAGATAGAGGTGGTCTGATTGAAGGAATTAAAAAAAACAACGATTACGGCAAAGTCGCATGAACTTACAGTAAGTCAAAGTCAGGATAAAACAAACAAGATAGCAGACACAATTTATTTGTTCTGACTGTTGTTCTCTGTCAGCAATAAATAAACAAACAGTCAGAGACCAGAGAATAGTCAAAATCAATGTATCTTTTCTACTTGATTTTTGTGACTCAAAAGTAAGACAAGGATCTTTAAAATGCTTAAAATCTATATAGAGACAAACTGCAACTGCAATATTTTTGGTACTGAAGATTTCTCGAGTCGATTTGTAGTCTGTTGATATTGTGAGAAGTATCAATTTATCAGTTGCAGCCGAGTGGTCCACGTGGAGAGCAAAACAGGAACTTCTAGCTGTCTTTAAAAGAACAAAACAAAACGTGTCCTCGTTCATATTTGTATTATAAATAATTCATCCACGGGAGGGATTGGAGCCAGTGAGAGGCAGTAAACACTCTAGACAAGTTGTGAATCAATCTATAGTCCATCATGACTTGTTCCAGCCAGACTGGAGTAGTCTGGTCACAATGAAAGTTGCATACTTGAAACACAAAAGAAAGAAAGAAAGAAAACACACTTTAATTTACTTCAGTATCTACTGGTATCAAAGGTGTCATTTAGTTATTACCATTTCTACCAGGACAGTAAGTAAACTGACTACATATTAGCCCTAGACACTGAAATCATGTGATTTCCAGCATTCTCCACGTTTCATGGGTGTGCAACATTTGCAAAATGTGCACAGCAGCCAGGCAAATACTTTCACGCACACTTACAGCCATCACAGCCACACACTAACATGCCATTAGTGTAGTAGCTACTCACTGTAAGTGAAGACACAAAGTTCACCAAAGTAAACTGCAAAGGAATCACCAGACAAACATTTGTAACAACAAACCTAATTAGACCCTTAAATCACCCTCACCCAGCTGAACATGGACAAAGAAGCAACAAAGGCAAAGGGGCTTCAGCGATCCAGAGCTTATAGGCAGCCATGAGCCAGCAGCCTCAGTGTGAGCAGTACAAGGATCAAAGCAGTTTCAAGGTATCTGCTGATACTTATACACATACTGGAAAATTAAGAAAATTTAAAAAAAAAGTCTGACATCTGTTTTGTTGCATAAATTCATTGCTCCTGCTATTGTTTTCTAAGCTAAAATATGTGAGATAAAGGTGGCTGTACAGCAACTCATCTTCATTTAATAGAATAAAATAGAGCAGAATAGAATAGGACTTTTTTAATCTCTTGGGGAAGTCCCCTCAGGGACATCTTTCCCGAAGCATAGCACTATATTTTCAGTTGTTTTATTGAGAAAATAAGTTATTGCATTAAGAGAAATTAGATGTTGTTTTGCATATGTTGTCATTTACAGCAAAGAAAGGCAAAAATGACTATTGACAGGTCACACTTAGGAAAGTTGGGAATCGGCTAAGAAAATATCCTAATACAAAGAGTGTTTTAAAACAGTAAGTATAGTTGAGGTTAACGCAGCGCACTACATCTTAGTGTATATATCTATATATATGTAGTTTCCCATGTAGGCTTGAAACTCATTACTATTTGCAAATACGTTCAATTTACTAGCAAGGCACCATTTATCAATAGACTATGTAAGATCTCGGTCTGAGACTGTGCTTAGGGAAAGGCCTCACTGGTCAGATACCCCTGGTACCAAACTGAGAAAGAAAGAAACAGGTTGAGGCAGGTTGGGGTAAATGAAAAGTAATATACATGTAAGTATGGCTCTATTTCTGAACTTCTAAGTAACTATATCCAACTAAAACTGGTTAGTGTTGTGCATATATGCCCTAGAAGCCTACAGATGGATGTCCGGGTGTTGGAGGATCTGAAATAGCAGGAAGCAGTCCAGAGCGGCAAAAGCAGCTTGAAGCGATGTGGGATTTTGCAGTGTTACTGTGAGGGTGTGTTTGGTACAGTATATGATGTGAGGAGTGAGAGTGAAGTCTTACAGCTCACTTCTGAAATAGCTCAGAGCTTTTGCTTCATTAGATATCTGTCAGTGACTCAACATATTTGCCTTAGGCTATGGCACTAGGATACTTCACCTGTATGTATCGTTTAATATAATAATTAGGCACCATGTTTTGACAGGTAAGGTAATGTATGAGACTGTATATCTGATTCTGCAGAATTAGTTTTGAAATGTTTAGTTTAAACTGCCATTCATGAGTGTGGCAGTGTTTACAAAAATATTAAAATAAGCTATCATTTAACAGCAAGCCATTAATATCAAACTGGAATCTCACCAGCTATGCTATGCACAAGCAAGAAGAATGACAAGAAACTAAGCGGTTTGTTGCAATCATAGGATACAACATATATAAGCCTCTGTTATCTCTCATTGTCATCTATAGCTGCTAACGTGCCAAAGCTGCCTCATGAAGCTTTAGCAATACAACATGAATGCCATGCTCTAAGTTCTCACTCTGCAGCAAGACACGACAAACATGGTGTCAGTTTCCAGTCTAGAAAAGGATTTTTTTCTTGTAAGCGTTTCTAACATTCATAATTAATTGCTGCTTTATGTACACAAAGATGTTGCAGACACAGCATGTAGAGGAAGAGAAGAAGAGCTGGTGACTGACAGTGAGGAGTGACTGTGAGCTGTGTTGATTTCAGATGGAACCATTGTACCAGCATGAAGGTGACCTTGTGGCTTATTCTAAGGTCTATTAATGGACGTGCAAGCGCTACCCTCCTGCAATTTTTTCCTACAAAATATGATACAACTATGTGCTTGCTCAAATGGGTCAAATGAAAAAAAATCTGAGTTACAAAATTACGAGAGAATTAAATGAATGTCAAAACATTTATCGGCTCATCCGAGTTAAATCAGAACCACGATAGTCAGTTCAATGTCAGTCTGAGCACATGGCTGCTGAACACATCCAATTATTGTATGCAAATATCCTGTACATTAACACATTTATCTCATATAGGTCTTTGCAAGGTTTTTTGTGTATACTTGTTTGTGCTGCATATAAGCAACCGCACACGGTTGTGTTTAAGTCACTACAATAATTTCTGGGAGGCTTACCCTAACCTAAAAGCAACTTTAATGTGCGGGTTGCTCACAATACTGTAAATAGCTTTATGTCCCCACAACATATGGAATATGCTGGAATACACACACACACACACACACACACACACACACACACACACACACACACACACACATTACCCTTGCCTTGTTCTCCTCTAATCCGTCCCCTCATTCATGTCCTTCCGTCTCTCTTCATAAAATGGTTCTTAAATTAAGGAGATCAGAGGAAGACATTTGGGCCTTAAAATAGCTCAAATTTGCATGAATGTTTCATGGACATTTATCTTGTATCTTGTACTGTGCAGTACTGGTTAATTAGAGGAAAAAGGGTAGATATATTTAGCAGCAGATATATTTTTCATCACCACCGTCATTGTTGTTAATCGAGTCTAATGAACTGGTAACAAGAAGGGAAGCAATGGAATGATTTAGGATATGTACAAACCATGGGGAATTTCACAGAAGGGAACTATGTTATGCCATTTTGTATTTAACATGCTATGGGATTTTTACAACCCTCAACCAGTCAAAAACGTTGGTTTCAGCTGTAGATCATAGCTTACTCCAGCAGCTTTAATAATAAAGATCTGTGCTGTCCCATGAGTCTAGAGATTTACTGTTAAGACAAATTTTCCTTAAACCCACTTTTATTAAAGGTGGAACATGCATTAGGTTCTATATGTGTAGACTTCTACAAAAGCAACCCCCTCCTCCACCCAGACAAAATCATTACTAACGGGTCACCAGAAGTGTGTGGTCTCTGATACTTTCAGTTCCAATTTAAAATCAAAGAGAAACACAGCATTTCTGCTTCAACTTACTCTGGAAAAATGATAGGATACACAGCTGTGCTTACACACACCTTTGTCCCAACTATACATTATACATAATGATGCTAACATGAATCTATAGCATCTATAGTACGCAGATTGAATTTAATATAAATCTAATAAACATAATAATATTATTTGAGTACATCAATAATATAATGGGCTAAAAAATGCCTTGTTTGGGAAGCTACTGAGAATCGCCCTGATCCATCAACAGAGTGCAGCCTGGGCAGGTCCACTCACTTGACTCACTCAGTCTGGCTTGAATGACACCACTTAAACAAACTACTGAATACAAAGAAAGATAATCAATAAAAATGAAGAGGAGGTTATTTCTCTGTTTCTTTTGTCTATCTGTGAGTGACAAAAGAAAAGGCGAAAGAAGAGGAAGAGGAGAAAAAGGTAAGGCAATTCTGAATGGCATAGATAATAATGAGTAGATAGATAATTTATAACATAATGAGAATTTTTGTCTAGGGCTCCCACAGACTCTAGACTTGCTGCTGCCCATCAATCCCGATGATCGTCTTCAAAAACATAAGCGGTATGCATCGAAGCATAATGTGAATGCCAGGATACAGTGTTTCCCTGTTCCACTGTTTATTTTCTAAATGTGCAGTCCCCCTCCCCAAGCCAGTACAAGTGTACAGAGTCTGAAGAAGACTTCATTTAAATTGCAAGACAAGCCGGTCTATGTCTCTGCTCTGCATTCACACAAAGTCTAGTTATTGAGAATCTTTTTCACAGGGTTATGTAAAGGTTGTGTGTGCTTTAAAAATGACTGCTATGAATAAAAGAATATCAAAAAATATGTTTAAAAATATATCTCTTGTTCTCGCTATTGATGCTTGCACTTCTCATTCGCTTTCTATCTTCCTCAACTGCTGTTCACTTTCTCTCTCTCTATCTCACTGAACCAGGAACGAAAGCCTAAGTTTGAATGTTGCATTTCTAGATAATACCCCAACAACTGCTGCAAATCATATAATCATCATTAAGTGCAGGTATTTTCCATATATAGGTGTTTGAGATCTGAATTTCCTGCCCTGGTCCACAAAAAGAAAAAAGGTTTCAATTGAGAAAATAAGCAAACTCGTGTTTTGGTAAACTTCACAGTGCTTTTCCATTTCCTTTTAATGCAGTCATTTACATACAAAGTGCCTGTGAAAGAGAATGAGGAACACTAGAGAGAACACCAAGAAGCCACTGGGTTGTGGGAGAGTTTAACAGCATACGTTTAGAGTATTTTTCTCAGAGCCAATTAATTTCTCAAAGTGTGGTTCAGCATGGATCTTACATTACACTTCGTGTTACCATTACATAGTTTTGATCGCAAAGCTCAAAACCACAGATGGCTCATCTAAAGGAAACAACAAAAATCAATTATTAACACTTCATTAACATTCATCTTCCATTAAACCAGAGGTTTGACTTCAGAGATTCCTCAGTAGGCATCAGTGCCTACGCTCTACTGATTTGAGTTACATTATTAAGGTATTTGTCATTCATATATATGCATGTGGAAAACCATGCAGGTGCGTGCTAAGGCTCTTACGTTGGCTTGGATGCCTCTGCCTGGTCAGTCTGGAGTTTCTCGCCTCCCTCCACCTCCATGGTGCAGTAAACAATCCTGTTTGGAGCCAGTGATTTCAAGCCCTGCACTTCCATGATCACCACCTGGGAAGCATAGACACCTCAGTGGAGGTTACTGATGTAAAGTGATTTATCTGAACGAAGTTTAAAAAGTCAGCATCTTATGAGCAGCTAGCAGTTCTAGGCAGTAATTTTTCGAAACAGTATGCCAGCCACAAAGATGATTTAAGCTTACGGCCAGTGCCCTCGTTGTACAAAAATGTAGATTGTAGTTGATTTTTTTTTTACTGGAACAGGCTGTAATAATTTCAGATTTCCTTCCAGTGAAGTATAACTCTCTATCATCAAAAGTGCTAGTAGGAATAATCTGTCACATCAGGTCTTATATTCACTCTTTAATAACTCTGAACACAATATAGAGATAACACTGCCAGAGGTAACTCTTAAATTGTAACCATGAATTTCAAATGGGAGAGCCAAAGGCAGAAATATGTGCTGGCAAGACAAGAGTTTACTTAGCAAAAGTATTTCTTAACTTTCCTGTATATTATGCTGTTTGTTATCTAGTCATCTTGCAGATTTTGCTTGGGGGTTTGGGGAGGGGGGGTGCACTCAAAATAATTTAAGGAACACTTAGAAAATGCATCAGATCTCAATGAGAGAAATATCATGCTAGACATCTTTACTGATATGGACTGGATAACGTGTTGTGAAGAAAACGATGCCACATGGTTTGATGAAAATGGAAATGATCAACAAGGGGTTGAATTTAAAAACACCCAATAACCAAAGCCAAAAATGCTGCAGCAGGCTAATCCATTGTGCTCAAATTTCATTGCAGCACCAACATGATAGTTTGCATGGCTTAACAACATTGCGGCATGCTCCTAAACAGCAGACGGTGTGCGAGGGGATCTGCTCCGGGATCTGGGATGTGCAAATCTGGAGGAGCTGGACTACCTGTGCAACCTCTACAGGGCCCAAGTATCGCCTCATGCTGCCAGTTGTGACACTAGCCTTAATCAAATGCAAAACTGGGAAATAAACTGTAAGAAAACAAGAGGAGGGAAAATATAGTGTCCTCCACCTGTAAAATAAGTCCTCATTTGGGGGTTGCCTCATTGTTGACCCTCCAGTACAATTTCATTAACACCAAAGCAGCTGAAACTGATTAACAACCCCCTCTGCTACTTAACTGATCAGATCAATATTCCAGAAATGTAATTGCCTTGATGATGTACTCTGATTACAAGGTGTTCCTCTAAAAGTTTTTTGAACAGTGCATGAAAATCTTAACATCTGCTCTTTCTATGTACTCAACGCAGGAATCAAGTGACTTGTTGTGTATCACAAGTGATTCCACCTCGAGTTTCTGAAGAGGTGAATTCTTTCAGCGATTGGAAATAAACTTGGTGCTTTACCAAAGACCTATCACAGTGCCACCTCACAAAAACACATACTTCTTTTGCTACTGTGCAAATAATTTCAGACTTCAATCTCTAGAGTGGTGTGCCAAATTGTTTGTGAGCAAACAGAAGAAGCAGGGTCTTATTCTTCTGCACATTATGTACTTCCTGATTCCAAAATAGCACCGCATCATAAGAAGTGAGGTGCGATAGCTCCCTGTTCCATGGTAATAGCTCATCTCAGACAAGCCGATAACAAGATGACTCACATTTCCCGTTAAGGAGCAGGTAAAAGGGGTTTTTTGTGTGTATGTGTTTATGCCAGTCTGCTCTTCGCACGGCATCTGTTCAGTCCCCTGAACAGGTCTGCTGTGTGTTTCTATACTTAGTCTGAAGTAGTTGATACAAGTTATGAATTAAAAGTTATGTTGTAGACAGATGCAGTTTTGCATTTATATGACAGTTGGCTATATGTCAGATATCCATTTCACAATACCATCATCGAGGTGTCTGATTAGTCCTAGACTCATTCTGACATTCATAAAGAGCTGGCTCGAAAAGGAAGAAGATACAAGGATGTCTCTGAAAGAGAAGTCCTTGTATCTAATTCAACAGGCTATTACCTGCTGTATTCTCATAATAGCACAATCAGATGTCACACTGACTTAATAACAAGTAAATTAAGGACTATTTAATGTCAGCTGCATCAGACACTTGTGTTCTCACATGCATCTCCGTAGGGTCTATCCCTAAACCTTTCTAAAAGTCTAGAACGGTTTAGGGATGCAGCGAATGTGTGAAAATAGTTTATTTTCTGTAAATATCCCTACTTCTTTTGAGTGCCTGAAACATTTGTACAGTACTCCATCTCAAAACCATCGAAACTTTGTAATGCTTGTGATTTTCACATATTGATCATCACACACTCATATCTAGTATCTAATTACCTCTAAAGTAAAGGACAGGACCACATCAGATTTGGACAGCGTGTTCTCATCCTCTTGGCCCATATCGATGATAGAGGTATTGTGTCCCCGCTTCAGCTTCTGGAGTTTAAACTCCCCGCCCTTAGACACAGGCATGCTCTCCAAGTTGGCCATCAGCTGATTCACTGAAGACTTGAGTTCCTCGATGAACATGGCCTCCATCTCTTTAGATACAAATTTGGGGAACTTTCCACCCTGTTGACAAAAATATAAAAAGGCTCAGAAGAGAACTACAAGTCGGGTAAAATAAAAATGATAAAAATATCAAAGAAAGGTTCATTTACGTCAGTTTAATTAGTTTCCTATAGCAATGCTAATTATGTGTAAAGTAAATACAGCAACATTTGTAAATACTGCCCATACACTACTCTCTTCCACTACGATGTTTATAAAAGTTACACCATATTGGCAACATATTAACTATATAACAAAGCATGAATTCCCCCGCTGAGTCTGACTCACTCTGGCAATCTGGTCTGCCATCTGAAGACGACCATCCAGCTCTCGTCTGATCTGTGCAGCCTGCTCATCCAGGTTGTCCAGCTATTGGTAACCAGAGAAAAGCAAGTCAGTTGAATCCCACTAGGTACTGCAATGCTTTAAATGTGAAATATTATCATTATTGTTACTGTTAATAATGACTTGCTTAGGTTGCATAGGAATATAGGTATTTAGCCAGTTTTGTTGGAATGTCATGGCAACTGACGAGGTGCACGTACGCTCATGAGGAACCAGACAGGACCTGCACGGCATATTGCTCTTATTGTATACAGCCAGATAACAGTTGTTGGTGGTAATACACAGAGAACTGTAGTAAACACAATGACATATAGCACAATAAATTTGATATGTTTATCAGACCTCGAGGGCACATGGTCTAAGGAAACAATCAACACTGATACAGCAGGAACACATTTATTTCTCATTTCACGCAGTCTTCCTCCATGTCATGCGCTGCCACATACATTTCCTACAATGTAATTTGGGCCACAACAGTTAAGTGAGATTAGAAGCAAGTAATGCCACCTTGAACTGCTTTGCCTTGGACAGAAAATATGAGCACGTTACAGAGATCTGGTAAGCTCCCTAGATTTTTATTTTTAGTTTTATTATTAAACTTTCAGATTTTCACTTCAGGAACAGCTGTTGCTGAGTCAAGTCACATGGCCCGAGGTCTTATGCTGGTCTTATGCTCCCTGTGGAGTCACATAAGGCATTGCTTTCAGTGACTCAATTTGAGTGAATGAACTGTGAGGCTGTAGACTTGGGACTCGGACTCAAGTCGCACTGGATTCGCAAACACAAGGACAGTCAACTTGACTTGGTGTTGCTAAAATACTGAAAAACACTCTACTGAATGTGGATTTGTCTTTGAGCTCTGGCAAGCTGTCATAAATAATTAATGACATAACAAAGATGTGGGCAACATCGGCTCACGCACACTTTCAGCTGCAGATGCTGGAAGCGGAACAAAGAAAACTCTAAATTTAGATAATTAAATTTAAGGTACTGGATAATTATTGAGAGGCCTTTTTTTTTTTTTAGCAAGTATCTAATTTATCACAAGAAACAGAATAAAGTAAAAGTTGTAAACAAAAAAGCTACTATTACTAAAAAGTACTGCGACACTGGTGGAGCTGTTGTTTATTGTACATGGTACATAGATTGGTTCTTATAAAGCACCTTTCTACTCTATCTGAGCAATTGAAGACATGCACATGCCTCATTCACATCCATTCAAGCCTAAGTGCCTTCTAACATTTACACACATTCACGCTCTGATGGATGCATCGGAGAGCAGCCAGTATCTTGCCCAAGGATGTTTGGCATGCAGACTGGAGCAAGGGATCGGACCACCAACCTTCCGATTACTAGTTGAACTAGTTTATGGGAATACAGCATAGCAACTGTGCGTGGGCGCTCATTTGGTTACAATTAGCTGTTCGGGGCAATTGTTTTTATTTTTATTTATTTATTTATTTTTTCCATTATGACACACATCCTTTGCTATTACTGCTCAGCCCACTCTCAGTACATCCAATGTTAATGACGCATCCATTTTCTTAAACACTGATCCAATTCAGGATCATAAAGAGGCAGGAGGGTATCTCAGTATTGCTCCCTGAACAGGTGACAAGTGTATCACAAGGCTAACACAGAGATGCTAACATTAACACCTACGGCCGATTTAGAATCACCAGTTAACATAACAAGCATGTGGGACACCCACCTCTGCTGTCCACTGCATTAAAACTCCAGGAACGTCCTGCTATAAAGTGACAGCACTAACCACTGCACCACTGTGCCACCATTAATAATGAATTACCAAAATCAGTAAGCTGCTGCTTTCTATTGTTCTAGCATCCCAAATTAAATACATGAGCTTGGGTCATTTGTTTAATTGAGTGCTTTCACTCTTATCGCAGGTTCATTCACATTATAGCTTTTGGTGTAGATGTGCCATGGTCAAGCTGCACATTTCAAACAGCTGATCTTAAATTGATGCCTCGGGAAAAGGCTAAGCTGGGTGGGCCAGAAGAAATGACAACAACAGTGATAAAGAACAGCTCTGTCTTGAAATGAGCCATCCAGAACGTTTTCTGGTGCACAGGATCAAAACGAGAGATAACGCAACTCATTTACAATATTTGAAAAGTGCCTCGACTGGACAACATTAGATGCAGGCCTGACATCTGTTCGCCTAAAATTTGCCCCAGAGTAATGATAAGCAGAGAAATCTGCGTCTTTCTTACATCAATAATGAATGAGAGTTTTATATTAGCTGACACGAGGATGTAGTGGAAATGGCTGATGTCTTTTTCATGCACTGTGCTTCTGCATGTTTCACTCCTTCAGTTATTCTCTCAGCCAAAATGTCTCATTCTTGTCAGATTTGATGTTGTGACTCACCAGTCAGCACCGTTCCCACTATGAGGTCTGCAGCCTAATTGAGATGGGGTGTTTTTTGCAGCACAGTTGCACCTGGGGAGCCACAAACCTCTCCACCCAGCGGTGTGGTGTGCGTGAGTTTTACAGTGAAAAATAAAAATCAGCCCCGTCTCACCAAGGCACTGTTAAACTGTAAAATTCTTGAGGTTTACATGAGCATAAAAACTGGTGGGAAAATGTGACGCTACAGTTTTCGTGGCACACACATACCGTATCAGAGATTTACTTTCAAGAGAAAGTAAATCTCTAGAATAAAAATACTTCAGTTTGCCAAACATACAGGACAAGAGACTGTCGATAAAAACATTGCAAAATTGTAGAAGAAACCTGTGATCTCTAATATTTCAATGCACAGCAGGAGCATGAGCTGCACTGTAATAATATAAGTTCTTTAAAATATTTTATATTTCTCACTGTCTAAAAAAACCATTCAGTTATTTGAAAATGTGGCAATACTTTTTCCAACTATATGTCCCTTATTGGGTTAAGTGACTTTCAATATGACAAGCTTGAAAATAACATGAAATAGTGCCCCAACAGAAGCAGGATACCATAAAATATGCAACGCATATAGCATGGTGTTCTTGAGAGGGGTAATGTATCACAGTCAATTTTTGATTTTATCACTAACAGCCACTTGGTCTCACCAGCTGAGCTCCCGATTCTATTTGTGATAACAGTGCTTTAAACTCCTCTGGTCTCCTGCTAATGGGATGCGTGCCAGACCTGACCTCTCTGTGCCTTATGGTATTTCACTCACTTATATTACATTAACAGGCCTTGTCTTTCAGGCTTTGCCATATTGATTCTTCGCCCCTTCCAGCAATCCTTTCTAAGAGAGAATGAGGTGAAGTCACGGTGCAGCCATTAGAAGCAGAGGAGGGGTGTAGTAAGTAACACACAGGAGGGAAAAGACTGACACAGATACCCGTGGTCACGGTCTGTACATTGAAAAAAAGGCAATACATTTTAGAAGCTTAGTCATGCAATTAATGGAATATTGTTTTCATTACTGAAATGTGTTATCAGTTTGTAATATATTCAGATGTGTGTTAAATGGTGAACTGTCAAGTGTGGTGTGCTACCAGTGTTGGCCACTGAACAGCCACCCTACTACATAACCCAGAGTTCCTGTTTAGTAGAGCACATAATCAGACTTTGCCACCAGCTGCAGCAGAATGTCTGCATTAGAAGCACAGCAGTACTCTGCCACGCTGAGACTCTTAAATGATGGAGAGCATCCTGTGGCAGGAAATATCATGAACCAGAGTATTATTTTCATTGTCCAAGAGCAAAAAACCCCCAAAAACAGATTTATCCACAGCCATAGCTCTGAATGATCCTATATGCTTTCCTTTCCCTTCTTTCCCTGCTGCTGCTGGTCTTGTGCTGCCTGTCAAAACGCTCAGAGATCTGGGTACTGTTGGACTGCGGTGCAAGCGACATCTGATTCTTGCAATCCCAAAAGAACAGCCTGGAAATTCAGCAGCTCAGCCTGTTAGTGTCTGACGCTGCATTTTTATTGTATGTGTGCTGTGTGCTTTCCCCCTCCTGCTAAATCCAGAGAATACGACGGACCTAAACCCATATGTCAAGGAAATATCTCTTCACAGGAAAATCTTTTATAAGTGAAATTGAACAAGGCATTAACACATATTTTATTACAGATATGTGTAAATTGCAGTTCATCTGCAAAATTGCTAACATGGAAAGAGCACGTGAATCTAACGGGTGCAATGTGAAGGGGGGGATGGGGTCGCATTTCTCCTGTTACTGTCATCTCTGCCCTGACAGCTTTGAAAAGGAAAGACAGTGCTTGCTGTGAAAGGGGAGGAGAGCTGATGGAACTAACAGCCACCACCTACTGAGGCCCACAGCACCCCAATCTTATCAAGCCTACAACTACTGAAAGGTCACTATTGTCAGTGGCTCTCAGGGACAATATAGGTGGACAGGTAATCTCATATAAATAAGACTGGCTAAAAGGTAAATTTCTGTCTATGTTACAGCACCATTGCAGCTAAATAAAGGTGACACTTCCTCAGTGTTAGCTAGACTGACAGCAGGTTAAAGGTGACAGAGCAGAAGCAGGCGGGTAGTTAACAGCTCAGCTGATAACACATTCCCAGGTGGATGCTGGGACATTAGCGGCAGCCTGTAAACATTGCCAGAGGCAGATTTTTATAAAGACCAAAGACAGGGCGGGCAGGGCTAGATCGGAGCTAGATGGGACCTGCAGGACTTGAAGCTGTCCTATATTTAGAACTGCTGCTGTGTGCATCAATGCGTTTGTGCTTTATGTGTGTTAATCTGCACGATGTGAGAAAAGGCTGTAGTTATTTGAGCGCACCATCGTGCAAGGTACCCCAGTTAGAAAATGTAATTGCAACTACATTTTTTTTTTCAAGAACATACATCTCATTTCTGCTCATCTTCAACACAGTGCCTTGTTCTTAAAACCTAGGGACACCTCAAAACAGGAAGTAGGCATGAATTATATTCACCCTGAGTCCTAAAAAATGATTTGAGTTATTAGAGATAGACTTGTATACAAATACAAATTCACATCAATGGGCTCCTGCTTACAGCACTTA